AAATTGGCCCCATGCTTCTGTCCATGAGCCCCGCAGCCTGCCACTGCTATTTTCCCACTTTCCTGCCTGCTGCTGTTCTTCCTCAGCCCTGCCCACTGCTCCAGCACCACATGGTTCCTGGATGCAGAGTCAGGACTGCAGAAGCCAGCCAGGACCAGCTCTGAGGACTGGCGTGATCACCTGCAGTCCTGCCATGCCTCCCCTCCCCCTTCTTATTTGCATTGTCCTCTCCAGTGGAGGGAGGCAGGAACAGCCCCAGGCTCCCAACTCAGAAACCTCTGGTAGGCACAGGCTTCTTTCTGGCTGGGGCTGGGCTGACCTAGCCTTGCTATGGCTACTGGGTCCTGCTGCCAGCTCCCCCTGCATCCTACTGCCCTGGCTCCTGTCAGCTTTGATGGGCAGCTGGGGCAGATAAATATTTCACCTATGAAATATGAAATATATTAATTTTCTAAACTTTTTAGGGGCCCCACAGGCCAGATAGAATGGCCTGGTGGGCCAGATCCGGCCCACAGGCCATATTTTTCCCATCCCTGTGCTAAGCTCTGTGCTTTTTGAGCTAAACTGTTTCCTACAACCTACCAATATAAAGAGGTTTGTCCTGCAGCCCCCACAGGGGCTTCAGATCAAGACAGCAAACTTTCCATCTTTAAAAGTACTGTTTGTTGAGATCAGAACAGAGTAGCCCTGAGCTACCCCCACCAATCCCCTGTCCTTGCTGGCAGGTGGCAGTCAGTGGAGAGGTTTAGAATTTTTTTAATCTACTTTTATAACATGCATACAGTACTATGTTTTTCTACAGAAAGAAAGGTAAAATAATTGCACTTTGCTCTTGGAGTGGAAGGCAGTAAGATTTCCAGTGGTTTTAAGACCTGGGGGGAGGGGGTCATTCCACAGCCTTGGGTATGGCTTGGGTTGCTATCTTCAAGAAAGGAAGGAAGGAAGAAAGATCTGGGAAACTATAGGCCAATCAGTTTGACCTCAATCCCTGGAAGGATATTGGAAAAAAACTAAATCAACATGGTGCATGGTGACCAGTGGTATGCCCCAGGGTTCTGTACTCGGACCTGTACTCTTTAATGTATTTATAAATGATCTGGACTCTGGTGTTAGAAGTGGAGTGGCTAAGTTTGCTTATGACACCAAATTATGGGGAAGTGTGGTCAGCTACAGTACTATAGGGTAGCAATTCAGACAGACCTCAACAGGCTCACAAGGTAGGCAGACCAAAACTTGATGGCATTTAATATGGAGAAATGCAAGGTGCTGTGCCTCAGGAGAAAAAGAACAACACATCATACTTACACGTTCGGCAATGCTACACTCACTAGCACCGTAACTGAAAGAGACTTGGGGGTCAAGTATAACCACAAGATGCACATGAGCCACCAATGTGATGCTGCAGCTGGCAAAGCAAACAAAACCCTGGCTTGCATTTATGCAAGACCCGGGAAGTCATCCTCCTGCTTTACTTGGCCTTTACGCTCAGGCAGAGCCCAATGGAACTCAACCCTAGCTCCTGCACACCCAGCCAGGAAACCCTATGACCCTGGGCTTGGGCTCAGCCCCAAGGAGCCCAACTCTGGCTCCTGCACACCATATCTCAGAGACCAGAGACAGGTGCCTATGTATCATTCACTAGTGATCTGTCCTAGACCTTTTACAGAAAATCACATAACTTAGATCAATTCTGCCTTGGGCTTTTTGGCTATAGAGCTAAACCACTACCATAAATACTGCCAGGGGACAGAGTTTGGCCCTAAAGTTCCCAATGTATGGACCAGGGTCAGATCTATGGGAATGCAGTGGTGTGGTCACATTTCTCTGCTGCTATCACCACCACTGTCCCCAGCCACGCTGAGCAGCCCACACAGTTGCTCCCTGCAGCCAGAACCCCAGAGGGGCAGAGCTCTGAGAGGACACTGAAGAGTAGGGTGGGGAGCAGGCATAGGTGGGGGAACCCTCGCTAGCCAGCAGCCTATAGCTGTAGCAAGACAGAAACAGCTCTGGAAGTGGGGCAGGAATAACTTTGGGACTCTAGCAGCATCAGTTCCTGAACCTGCTCATTGCCCAGCACCCTGGTGTCCCCTTATAGCTCAGGGGCTCCAGCCACACCTCGCCCCCCATTCCTCCATTGTCTAAGAGTCACATCCCTTTTAGTAAACTCTGTATCTGCCTATGTCTGGAGCTCTTCAAAATATAGCAAATGCCCCTAGATCCTACTCAGTGAAGACTCTAAAAGGCCTTCTCCAGAGAAATAGGGTTCATCCTTCAATAGTTTTCATGTCAACAAAAAGAGGACATTGAAATGGACAGAATCAGAAAATGAAAATGAAACCTCTCTTCACAGAAAGTTCAGTTAGGGCTCCATAGCAGTGAGGGCACTTAATTGGCCTGAGTGGTGCCATGAAACCATAGAAAGGTATGTCCTGCATTGAAGATACAGTGAGTATTGAAGGCCACTTGGAACTTTGAATAATTGCACTCATCAGTGATTATATAGGGCTACAGGTGTAGACTCTATAAGTATAGAATTATATACCTATAGACTTATAGTCTAAAGGTATAGATTCATGGAAAATTAGGATTGGAAGGGACCTCAGGAGGTCATCTAGTCCAAATGCCTCCCCAAAGCAGGATCATCCCCTACTATATCAAACCAGCTAAGGCCTTATCTAGCTGGATTGCAAAAACCTCCAAGTATTGCAAGTGCTCAATTTCTCTGGGGAGCCTGTTCCTGTGCTTTAGTGCTTCTTGTGAAAACAGTTTTTCCTAATATCTAACCTAAACTTCCCTTGCTGAAATTTGAGACCATTGCTCATTGTTTTGTTATCTGCCACCACCAAGACCAGTCTAGCACAATCTTCTTTGTAACCACCCTTCAGTTGATTAAAGCCAGTTATTAAAACCTACATCAGTTTTTGCTTCTCCAAGCTAAACAAGTCTAGCTCCCTCAGCCTCTCCTTGTAAGTCATGTTCCCCAGCCCTCTAACCATTTTCATTTCCCACCGCTGGACTCTATTTTGTCTACATCTTTTCTGTAGTGGGGGGTCCAAAACTGGACACAGTGTTCCAGATGTGTCCTTGCCAGTGCTGAATAGAGGAATAATCACATTCCTTGATCTGCTGGCAGTGCTCCTACTAATGCAGTCCAGTTTTCTGTTACCCTGCTTTATAACAAGGGCACACTGCTGGCTCATATTTAGCTTATTGTCCACAGCAGCCAACAGGGCCTTTTCTGCAGAGCTGTTGCTTAGCTAGTTGGTCCCCAGCCTGTAGCAGTAAATAGAATTGTTCCTTCCTAAGTGCAGGACTTCGTACTTGTCCTTACTGAACCTCATGAGATTTCTTTTGGTCCTCCAATTTGTCAAGTTCTCTCTGAATCTTGGCCAAACCATCCAGCATATCTAAAACTCCTTGCAGCTTGGCGTCATCTACAAACTTACTGAGGGTGTACTCCATCCCAACTTCCAGGTTGTTTATGAAGATATTAAACAAAACCAGCCCCAGGACTGGTCCATAGGGCACTCCACTTGATACCAGCTGCCACCTTGACATTGATCCATTGACTACTACCCTCTGAGCTTGATGATCCAGCCAGTTTTCTATCTACCTTGCAGCCCAGTCATCCAAGCCATACTTCCTTAGCTTGCTTGCAAGATTATTGTGAGAGGCTGTATCAAAACCTTTGATGAAGTCAAGGTGTATCACATCCACTGCTCTCCCCACATCCACAGAACCAGTCATCTCATCAAAGAAGGCAATCAGGTTGGTCAGGCATGACTTGCCCTTCATGAATCCATGCTGACTGTTCCTAATGACCTTCTTTTCTGCCAAGTGCTTAGAAATGGACTCCCTGCAGACCTGCTTCATAATTTTTCGCTGTACTGAGGTGAGGCTGATTGATCTTAAGTTCCCTGGATCCCCGCTCTTCCCTTAAAGATGGGCACTATATTTGCCTTTTCCAATCATCTGGGACCTTCACCCATAACCACAAGTTTTCAAAGATATCCAGCGGCTCTTCAGTCACATCAGGCAACTCCATTAGAACCCTCAGGTGCATGGACTTGTACACATGCAGCTTTTTTAAATAGTCCCTAACCTTTTCTTTCACCACTGTCACTTGCTCATCTCCTCCCCAAACTCTGCTGCCAGGTGCAGTAGTTTGGGAGCTGACTTTGTCTGTGAAGACTGAGGTGAAAAGGGCATTGAGTACTTTGCCCTGTGCAGCTTTTCATCTTGTGCCATGTATTTCATTCTGTGTGGGTTTCTTTCCATTGATACCTTTTAATTCAGAGTCCTCTATTTTACACAGAAGGTAAGAAGCTGATGGCACTTTTAGAAAAAAAAGTCTAAGCATTAACCCCAGTATCGCCTTCCCACTGAGCCACCCTGGAATCCAGAAAAGCACATCAGGTACCACGCTGGCAAAAGGAACATAATGCCAATCATTGAAATTCCCTCAAAAGATTTTTTTTCCCATTCAGCTTTCCACTAGGTGATAGATAAAAGCATTGTGAAGTTAAATTATAGAGAATTACATTCACTAGCATTAAGGGAATTATAGCTCCAGGTTTGATTATGATATTCCCTGTTTGGTATTTGAGTGCTAACAATATTTTTGTCATGCTATTTTTCTTAGCAAAGTTGTTACAAAAATGGAAATACAGGCAACATAGCGATTCCTGTGGTAGCAAAATTCAATACGTTTAATAGATTTTGCGCTGCATTTTTTCATTTACTATTATTTTATTTTGATTACCTTTCTGAAGGAAAAATTAGTTTCTGTCAAGTATTTCCAATGAAAGGAAACTGGATGCAAGTTCTCCAGCTGAGCGAAAATAAATGGGGTAGCTGGGAAACAAATCTAACAAGTTACTCTTTTGGAAGCTATCTGCCCCAGATACAATATGTTAAGCTTGGTTTATCAAAAGCTTTTGTTCTTAAATTTGTTTGAGCATAATATAATAAGCCCTGTATATATATTTTTTATCCTCCAGATGAAATGAATGATCATCAGAACACTCTTTCTTACATCCTGATCAATCCTTCCCCAGATACAAGACTAGAGCTGAATGATGTTGTGTAAGTTGATGACATAAGGCATAAGATACACAAAGTTTCTCATTTTCACCTTTCTTGTATCCTTTGAAAAGTATTGCTTTTCTTGTTTTTATCCCAGGAGAAATAATATTGATGCACTTGTAAGAAAATTAAAATGAAAAAAAAAGCCTAATTCATTTGCGCCAACACATTTTAATGCGCCCTGTTATTTAAATTAACAACCCTTTTCCCTCTAAATTGTAGTAACAATTCAACTAAGGACATTGAGCTCTTAGATGCCTTCCTATTATTTAATAGTCTCATTAGGTTTCTTGCTTATGAGTTAGATCTCCAGTTGCAAGATCAGCCTTCCAAAGTTACCCATCAGTTGTATCAAAGCTCAATTTTCTTTGTGGATTTAAGGGTCTGATTTAAAACTTAGTGGAATGCCTTCCACTGAATTCCCTGTGTTTAGGATCAGGCCCTAAGGATAAATCCATGTCTAAGATAATTAAGATACAAGTTACATAGTCATAACACATACACATTGCTTGAGATCGTTTTTTCATGGTTACCAAGAAGTGCAACATGTTAGCACCTGTGATATTGACGGTACTTTTATAGAATAATTATTACAGGTTGCATTAATGTACTGTAGAATTTTCCAGCAAATCAGGATTTCATCTTGTTTCATCAAAACAAGAAAACCCACTTTGCTCATGGCACTTAACTGTGAATAGAAGATAATCAAGATGTCATGACTCTCCCTTGTTAGCCCTGTGTTATTACATCTTGAAATTTTGCAAAGTGCAAAAAAATGGAGAAGATAAGGTCAGCTCTCAAAATGGAATGTGCAGTCTGTAACAGATGCACAGTCTCCAGCACCAATAGAATTCATAAGAATTTCCCAAATTGTCACAGTCATAAAATGCTAGTTTGTGAAAACTGAAATGTTTCACAAAAATATCTTGACTTTGGTGAACTTATGACAGGATTAATCGAGTCTGCTGAAACGTGGTAAATTACTGCTGAAGCACTGAAAAATGGTGGCAGAGGTGCTTTAACTAAAGCTTGTTTGAGCTTTAGTTAACAAGCACCCCTACCACCATTTTTCATCGCAGAGATGCTGATACACATGACACTTTGGGAGCTATAATTAGAGTGAGTCTGGTAGCCACTCTAAAGTGCCCCCCTTACCACTCTCAGAACATGTCTATAAATGCTCTGGTTTTCTAAGGTCTTCAGAGCTGCAACTATATGAAACTGAAAAGTAGTATGGCAATTTGAGACAGTAGCTGCTGGGAATTATCTATCAGAAACATCGTTTTACACATTTAATTTAAACAAAATAGTCCAGGATTTCAGTTCCAAAATATTTTATTTTGACTTTTTATCTTGAGATGGGATGGGTTTATTTACAAAAACAATTGGTTTCCCTGCCAAATTTAAGCAAAGATTGTTCTCACATAGCCCACTTGTGTTTTAACTTCTTCAGGCAAGGAGTTTGTGTGAGAGAGAGAGAGAGACAGATGAAAAAGATCATTGTGCCTGATTCTTTGGGTGGAGTGGCAATACAGTTACATAAATGATTTCAATAAAACAACACAAATAGAAAAGGATCTTTACCCAGAGCAAACTCTTCAAGGTTCAAAAAGTCCAAAGGTATTTCATTGTTGCTTGCCTCTGTACTTCCTTATGAGGATTAACCCAATTTCAGCTAGATTAAAAACAGACACATTGGTCATAGTCATGTATATACAGGCAGCAAAGCTACTCTAACACACTGTAATTACAGTGTGTCGGAGCATACTCGATTAATCGAATCTCCTGAAGCATGGCAATTTCTGTGCTCCAGCATCACATGTACCAGTGTCCCTGTGCTGAAAAATGGCAGTAGGGGCATTTTAACTAAAGATCATTTGACCTTAGAGAAATCTATAACTAATTAATGTACCTTCCCCACCAGACTATGTGTATAAATGCCCATTGATGCTCTGAAAAATTCAGGAGCTTTTCCACCTTGATAAAATGCTGGAGAACTCATCCCTGTCTTAGCTGGGGTTTAATCCTAATGGATACCCACATGGTCATCAGGCAGTCTGCATGGTAAGGCCACCACAAAGCACTGAGTGACTTTGGAAGCCCTGAGCTCTTGGCTCAAGGTCTGGCTGCATGTAAGGGCTTTCCATGAGCCTCAGGAACCTGTGTCGCTATGGTTTGTGATGCTTCCTGGGTGAGATGGTATGAAACTTGGAAGGGCTATAACTATATGTTTATTTCAGCAAATTCTCATAGGAACATAGGACTGCAAGGGGCCTCCTTGGTTATCACATTCAGTTCTCTGTAGTCACAGGCAACCGTTTGTCGATAGAGGGTGCATCTACATGTGCTATTAGCAGAGTGCAATAAATTCTATTGCATCTTGCACCAGAGTTTATTGTTCCTGGCCACCATATTTACACGTGCACTTAAGACCACAGCATGTTGAGCCTGGCTGGAGCACTCCAGCTGGCAGGGGCCCAGGGGTCAGCTTGCCAGCCTAGGGCTGCTCTTACTCAACACAATGTACTGTGAAGGGGCTGTTTCAGTATTGGGCTAGCTAGCAGGAAGCCCCTGCATTGAAGCATCCGTGTGCCCCAGCCAGCCCTGTCAGTGTCCACACAAGTATAACTGTGCAGTAAATAACACCACCACAGGATAGTTCTTGTACTTAAAAGTACTAACCTATTGCAGCATTTATTAGTTTACTGTGACCTAATAGGACTGCACATGTCGGTTCTGAGACTTTACTGTGGAGCTAATTAGGCAGTTCTGCAGTAAACATTTCCTGTAGATGCACCTAGGATCTACAAAAGCTTGCATCCTGCTCCCTCTCACATGCCTTTGGACACACACACACACACACACACACACACACACACACCCCCCCCCACAATGTGCCACAAGTAAGGAGCGGTAGATACAAGGGAACTACCAAAGAATTTGTTAGATGTTGATCCAGTTAAACATTCTGGGACCCAAGGAGAGTTGGAGGACCCCATCCCGCCAAAATCAATTACTCAAGAAAATAAAAGGGCTTACTCAGTTTGCATAGGTTAATATATTTTCAGGATAATATTTTATATATATATATAT